GTCGAGGAAAGCAGTCGCGACGACAGAACAGGCGGCGAACACTACTCGGTACACGACTACAGTCCGAGATCGTTCGAAGTCGAAGACATCTATCCTATAGGAGCCAGCGAGGGCGACATAGTGAAGTATCACTCTTAAGCCACCTCGCCATCGTGCTCTGCAGCAGTAGCATCCTCTACGAAGAGACCCTGAGCCGCAGCCGGAGGTGGCAGCGCCAAAGTGTCGACCGGCTGTATGGGAGTACCTCCAGTAGGCGGCGCAACATCCAGGTCGGAGAAGGTGGCGGCGAGATAGCCGTGGAGATGGAGCGGGGCGGGCCAAAGTGTCATATCCTGCAAGATGTACTCGCGCGACCAGCTGAATATCCCATATTAGTATCATCCTTACTCGAGGAATATGAGAGGTACTCACGCGCGCCAGGAAGGACTGTTGCGATCCGGGCCCCATTGTTCCTCGTTCTGCTTGAGATCGCGACAGATGATCCTCCAGAAGGCAGTATCGCCATTCGCAGCTTGAGGGGCGGGATCCAGAATGAGACGGTGAGCAACGATGCGCTAGAGATCGTGTCAGATAAGAATGTGGAAGCTGACAATGGAGGCAACTCACAGTGTACGCAAACTGTCCCTGTACGACCTCGCAGTACTTAGCAGCCTCTCTGTCGCCGACATGCAAAGCGTCAATAGTCTGGATTGTGTACTCCGGGAGGGAAATCGCGGGAACGTTGGCAACACCACCGACCGATCTGAACGTCTGCAGTAGTAGGTAATTAGTATCGCCACAATCAAACAAGAGAGTGAGCATCACTTACACGCTTGCGGTAGGAGCTCTTCGAGTTCCGGATCTGGTCACGGAGATAGCTCCCAACAGCGGCCTGAGCGGCCTCAGACGTAGCGTACTCGGCGAGATTGATCTCGCCACCCTGCACACGTAGATAGCTCTATAGCAACACTTTATATGAGAGCCGCGGGGAGGAAGGATGTGTAAGTAAAAGACTGACCTCGATCCGCATGAGAATGTATCTCCCCGCATACGACAGGAGGGGATTTGCGACGAAATGGGAGGCAACCTCGCGGAAATATAGTTCTGCATCGTCTACGTCAAAACGAGGCTTGCAAGGAACTGACGGGTATGTAAGTATCTAAGGACAGATCACGAGTTTGATGGACTCACCGGCATGCTCTTCTGCGGCCGCACGGCCAGCGAAATTGGGGAATACACCCCGACTGAAATCTGAGATGAAGTCAATGCCTGCACTGTCATCGCTACATCCCGTTCCACATACCATTCGACGCATCCTCAAATGGAACGGCACCCGCGGGGCCATCCAATGACGGGGGATCTATAACGGTGTTCCTCCGAGCGTGTACCTCATCCGAAACTTGAACGGCGTCACGTTCACCATGCTCTACGACACCGTCTTCAGGCGGTTGCTCGCAGCCACTCGATCCAGCCCATGTACCGTTGTAGTCATCATAGATCTGGTCAACGGGATCGGAAGCGCAACGAGGACCCGGTATCGCGACGTATGGGTCGACCTGAAAGTCGGGGAAGTTCGAACGGTCCGATGTAGAGGCACCCGCGGGAGGTTGATAAGCGGAAGCCGAAGGAAGCGAGCTCGTCTCGCGCCGGGTCGGATTGATGCTTAGAGGAGGAGGGCGATCTAGTTCGCGAGCGCGGATAGTATGCAGCTCGCTATCGTCATGGGCGAGAGCCTTGCTATGGGTTACCCAATTCGGGAACTCCTTTGTACAAAGGCGGCATTTATAATGGCCATCGGCACTTGTCTGCCAGGCTGCAAGACATTAATAAAGGTATTTTACGGTAGTTGCAGTACACACCATCATCGAATCGTAGAGAGGGCATGAGCGACGGGAGGCAATGTTAGTAACGCGCACGGGCTGTCGGCCGTCGTGAACGTCAAGAGACAAGTCGACTTGAGATCGGCCGGTCACAGATCGGCGGCCTCACACTCGAGAGCAACGGTGGGGAACATATGAATTACTAGGTACGTGCAAATACATGGATACGATACAGGTGAGATGGGGGTAGATAAGAGGAAAGTCGCGTTGCGAGCTTGAGACCTTAAAACGGTGTGAATCTGATGGGGATTCCCGTGGCGCACGTGCGCCTCAACGAATTCCGGTGGGCGGCCGACTTGCAGTGTACAGGTCATAAACCGGCGTATCTGGCCGAGCGCTCAGATTTCACGCGATTCTTCTCTTGCCCGGGCCCCCTTATGCTTTGCATTATGCTTTCAAACTGCATTCTTATATTCACCCGCCTGCACTCGCTAGCCAAACTATACATATCACCAATGCCAGACAACGTATGTAACATTACTGATTATACCGAACGTTTACGTCGTCCTTGTACTCCCCTTCAGGTTCCTTGAAGCGTATCGGCACCGGCGTGTAGTTTACTGAACGCCCAGCGCCTACAACTCGGCCTCGTCGGATGCAAATCGCGACGCCTACACCCAAAAGACCCAACAGGACGACAAGTATGGCGCCAAGTAGGCCAATGACGACGGGGGCGAATCCGTCAAGCTTATCGACGAACGCTTGGTATGGGTCGACGCTTTGCGACGCAGCAGCATCAGAAACGGATGCCTCGCTGCTGCCGGGTCCCGTCTGGGGGAATGCTTGCTGTATCTGCGCTTTGGTACCTTCAGGAGGAAAAGATGCCAGATTCTGCCGACGACGGATCGAGTAGTCGGCGTAGTCTGCGTCCACGCCGTGGGATGATGTCACCAGTTTGATGGACGGAGAATCGACTATGGTCCCGGTTTCGTCAAAGTCGCCATAGTAGAAGCTATATCATACATGAGACCGACGCTGCAATGCAGAGAGATTGAGGACACACTATGTGTAAACGTTCCGCATGAAAGTGTCGCCTAATATGAAGTCGAAAGCGCTCTGGTCGAAGCCGAGAATGCTGAAGCTTGACGTGCAGAAGGTGAAATCTTGGGCAGTTCGAATATCGGTGAGATCAAGGGGGTGAATGTAGTATGCCCGACCGCTATGTCACGACAGTCCATCATCCATGTCATCAGGGACCATTGTGGTAAACTCACCCGATGGTGACCGTGATATTAGGAGCATCAGCTGTGCATGGGACGACCCAAACACCGAGCCCAGTACTGTACCATGCATCGGGAATACCGCTGTACATCGCGCTCAGAACTGCCTGAGACACCATCGCCTTCGATGTTCCCGTGTCGATGAGCGCTATAGCTTTGCCAGAGGGTGCTCCCTGTATCGCGGATTCGAGAGCAAGCGTCTTGCTGTTCACCGCCATAGCATCCACGGGGACGGTCCAGCGTGCAGCTCCAGGGGTGAAAGCATCTACAGCACTGGTCTGGGCGAACTGGTTCTCAAGGCCCTCGGGGTATTCCCCGATCGCCAAAGAACCTTCCCCAGTGCCTTCGCCATCGTCAGTGCGGCCAAGTGACACAACTGTGAAATTGCCAAGTCCGGCATTTTGCTCGAAGACGTTGGCGATCACGTTGCGGCCGATCTCTTCTGCTTTTCCCGGCTGCGACTCGTACAAGTTGTCCAATTCATAGATGATCCCCGATGTCGATTCGGAGTCGACTGCGATTCCCATGATCCCTCTGATCCCTAAGGGTAACATGACCTCGATGTTCCACTCGTTAACCTGTGTGAGGTAAATGAGTGACTTATGGCTTTGAGAGTAAACATGCGTGCGATGATACGCACCGATGTACCGTTCAGGAATGCTGTTAGACGTGATGATGTCAATTACTGCTTGTTGAGTGCTATTTGTGTGTTGAAGCTCACCCTGAGATTCAACGGTGTATCCACCGAATTCGAGCTTTGCTGTAGCAATGGGTCCGTCAAACCAACCAGTTCCGTATGTATCGTTGACATATGAGTTTGGTATCACGTTGATTATATCGATGGGTTGATCTGAGAAAAGAACGAGATCCGTAGATCCCGTATCAAGTTGAACGGTGACCTCTGGATGTGAGTTCGATCAGAAGTCGACAATGCTTCTTCATCGTGTGACGCACCGGACCCGCCGATGGTGATGTTCGCGAGATACTTTCCAATCGAGGTTACAAAGCGCACAATAGTGATCTAATTAGACCAACTCACCCAATTGTCGAAGGTGTTGCTTAGGCTGTCTATCGAGCCATCCGATGCAGATGAGGCTGATGCGATGGACCATGTCTTTAGCCCAGTGCCAGATGAAGAGGAGCGCGGAGCGAGCACGCGAGTGCGGTCTGGGATTCGACTAGCGACAGCGCCGGTTACAGCACCGGCGACGATGCCTAATGTGACAGACGCTGCGAACATGGCGACGAACACTGGTGACTTGTGCATCCTCAGCGCAGGTTTATATACCCTCATGTCTTGAAACACTGTATACGCATGGTCATTATCAAAGTGCGCTCATACAGCTGAAGATGGGAACGTACTGCTCTGAGACGGCCGGTGCTAGGATCATTTATGGCGGGCCTTATTTCCCTTTGAAGAAACTCACCGGCCTCTCGAGTGGGCGGAGAACGGCTAAACGAGAATTGGTGATGCTCGTGTATAACATCGACGTGTTCCACGAGCCTGAATCGTGATGGTTTCCTCGATGCTTTGGTCCGCCATGATCTATAGGGCCCCCTTTGGCTGCATCGTCTCACAGAGCGTACGCGGGAAATGCATCAGACAATACTGGCAGCAGCGCCCCGACAATGACAAAAAGTATCATTGCCGTTGCCCGCATGGTATGCCTAAGCATCACCTTCCCTGCGAAAGGGAGACATGAGATATGCGATGTAGCATAGTACAGGCGTCGGACATCCATCATTGACTTGCACGGGGCATCCACAACGTCTCGAACCACCGACCGCGTTTGAGCGAAGCCGTCCAACTTCTTAGGCGTGTGGACCATCTAGATGGGCAGTGAGAACTGCCAATCTGACCGATGCGCGAGCGCAACAGTAAGCGCCAGCACAGCCGCGCCGATCCGCGGCGCCCAACGCTTTGCCTGTTGCCCACGCTCGAACTTCTCGGTGCTTACGCCTTTAAATCTAGAGATTGAGTATTGTTGATGATGAAGCAGAAGAACGGCGATACACGTCCTGAATCATCCAATGAGCACCAATTCGAGCGTCGAGGAGGCGAGGAAGAGACTGACCCAGGAAGTAACTTAGAAGAAGCGATGTGGGTTTTCACCATTGCGGCCGCTGATTTGGGGGAGGGAAAAAAGGAAGGAGAAGCCTGCTGTGAAGATTATCATGTCGAGAGGTACGACTTCTCTGGACGCAAGTCGAAGACCTTCGCACACGCTGCCGATTGGTGTTCAGCTCAAGTCCATGTTTGGGCGGTACAGGACATCTCGCAGCGCACGGGTGAGTTTGAGGGATATTATATCCTCTTTAACTGTGCATAAGATCTGGGGCTCGCAAACGAGTCCAAGACCGTGCAGTCGATGGCCGATGATGGTGGCGGCAAACAAGGTCCGCTGACGCGCTTCCGCGCGCCCGCGTCACACACGCCCACGAACTGCAAGGCCGGCTCGGTGTCGGGCGATCGATGTAGCGCACATACCTCTCCGACCTATTCTCCATCCCCTACAGCAATACGACACGGCTCGCTGTAACCCGTCTGATCCCGTTGACTCTATTGAGCAACCAAATTTCAACACTTCGACAAGTCGCCACTGACGCGATCAGTCACCCCGTCACACCGTTGAACTCGTGCTTCGCGCGTGCTCTCCTCCTCTCTCAGATACACCACCATGGAATACTATGCACACCCAGCGACTCTTTGTCGCGCCGCCGAAGAGATACACATACCAGAAGACTGGACTCCTCATCATTACCTGCTTCCTCCGTATCAGGCCTCTGCCGACTCATTCGTGACCATCTCTTCGCTGTTGTCGCCCCCGCCTGCGCACATGCGGAGCTATGGCATGCCTGAATACCTGTGGTACTGGTTCCTTGACTGGCGCGCGGCTCCACAGGATGTTCGAGACTTTCTAGTCTATCGAACCGGACTCGGTTTCCGACTTCGTTGGCCGAGGAAGCCAGTAGTCGGCCCGCCGACTCCGGCGCAAGCAGCATGGCTCGCGAGACAACCCCCCAAACCGCCTCGCACAGACCTTGAAGTTCGTCAGATAAGATCAAGAAAATATAATGACATCTGTCCTCACCCGAGTCTTTAGCGCATCCACGATTTGTTCGTCCTTTGGGATGGCGAACTAAAGCAGCATTTCGCTAGTCTTTACGAGCCAACGGACACGCCGCCTGTCTTCTATCGATTCCAGTCAGATCTGGCACCCGCGGCTTTGTACCAGATGAGCACTTCTGCCAGTCCGTCGCCCTCAACGCCCACACGAGACTATGCGTCCTTCCCGTTGGCCACGCCCGTTCCATCCCCCGCCAGGCCCTAAGGGCGCGTATCGTCATGCTGCGCACTATTCGAACCACAGCACACCCTAGCCCGCTATACATTGCTCCCGCATGCTTTCCCCGCTTCTCATGTGCTTTGCTCCCGGATGTTCTCGCCGTTTCTGATGTGCTTTGTATTGTGTTTTCATACTGCATGCCCATCCTTGCTTTGTACACGCTATACCAATTAACCAATCCATTATCTATACACTACTACTGATTATACCGGGCGTTCTCGTCATCCTTATACGATCCTTCGGCCTCCTTGAAGCGTACTGGCGCATACTCCACCGAGCGTCCAGCGCCTACAACCCGGCCCCGTCGAATGCACATAGCAATGCCTACACCCAGAAGACCCAGCAAGACGACAAGAATACCACCGAGCAAGCCGAAGATGACGGGTGCAAATCCATCGAGCTTGTCGAGGAGCGCTTGATACGACGAGTCTGTGCTCGACGAAGTAACGGCAGCATCAGATACAGCAGCGTCGCTGCTGCTGGAGTCCGTCTGCGGGTAGGCCTTCTGTATCTGCGCCTTGGTGGCTTCCGGAGGTAAAGATGCGAGGTTCTGACGGCGACGGGTCAAGAAGTCGGCGTAGTCCTCCTCGTCGCCCTGAGATGCTGACAACAGCTTGACCGACGGAGACTTGACCACGTTTCCTTTCGTGTCGACGTCGCCATAGTAGAAGCTACGAAGCGCGTCAGGTCAGAATTCGAAACTGTAGTGTGTGAAGTTCAAGAGCGCACCTCGTGAAGACGTTGCGCAGGAACGAGTCACCCAATAGCAAGTCCAACTCGTCCTGATCGAAGTCAAGCTCGCCGAAGCTTGATGTACAGACGGTATAGTTGTAGTCCGGACGAAGATCTTGGACATCGGTGAGATCGAGAGGGTGGATGTAGTACTCCATGCCTCTGAAACGCAGTCAGTACTGTACATCTGTGCGTTCCCAAGGAATGATTACATACCCAAAGTTGAACGTGATGTTCGGCGCATCGTTGAGACACGGCACAATCCAAGCCTCGAAGGCATCGCTGTACCACGCGCCGGAGATACCCCCATACATCGCATCCAAGACGTACTTGGGCACCGCAGCATCGCCCGTCCCCGTATCGAGATCCGCGATAGCCTTCCCAGCAGGCGCGCCTTTCACCCCGGACTTAAGCGCAACGCTCTTCCCATTAACCGTCAACCTATCCATCGGCACAGTCCAATCCGTCGGCGTAAACGTCTTGATAGCCTCGATGCTATCGAAGTAGTCCTCCAGCTCCTCAGGGTAGTATTCGCCGACGGAGATATAACCCGATCCAGAACCTTCGCCGTCGTCGCTGCGTCCGAGGTACACGACGGTGAAGTTGTCCAGGGTGGGATGTTGATCAAAGACGTTAGCGAGGACGCTGCGGCCCACTTCGTTCGCTGTCTTCGTGTCGTAGATTTGCTCGAGCTCGTCGTGGATCCATGATAGGCCTGAGTCGAGTGCGACACCCATGATACCGACGATGCCGAGCGGTAAAGCGTACTGCTTGTCCCAGTCGCTAAGCTACAGAAAGAGGTTGACAGTCAGAGATGAAGCGCACGAAGTACTTCGAAGATACTACTCACTGATGTGCCATTGAGATAGGCTATCGAAGACGTGAATATCAATCATGACAGGGATCACATACACATAATCTAGACCCACGTACCTTGAGACTCGACTGTATAGCCGCCAAACTCGAGCTTCGCGACTGCGATAGGCCCGGCTGTCCACCCGGTACCGTACGTAGCGTTGATCTCATAGTCATTCCACACAGCAGAGGTTTTGATGGGCAGATCCGGGTACAAGACGAGGTCAGTCGAGCCAGTATCGAGCTGCACGGTGAACTCTAGACGGCGCGATGTCAGCAAACTGTTGATGTCGTGGTAGGGTTCAGCGGGAAGGACGCACCGGAGCCGCCCAGTGTGATGTTCGTAAGATACTGCCATTCATCGTCAGTCCGGTGCTTCGATAGTACTCTGCAGGCACCAACTCACCCATCCGTTGTTCACGTTGGCCAATCCAGTCGCAGAGCCGTCAGAGGAAGACACCGCGGACGAGACGGGTCGTGTCTGTATACCCTTCCCGGACGAGCCAGACGGGAGAGTAACACGAGGAGTCAGCGAACGAGGTTCGCGAGGGGTCCGGAGGGCGGAGGCACCGAGCGCCATGAGGCCGACAACGGCGCCGGACACCAAAGGTTGTGCCAACATGGCGACGAAAGTTGGACGCGAGCCTCACAGCGACTCATCCTTTTGTACATCCCTTTCTTGATGCTGTGCTCGTCGTTGTACTCTACTTCCAGCGAAGGCGCGAAAACGCCGTTAATGAGCTCGGAGAACGCTCTCGGAAGCCATGCGAGGAGGTGTCGGTGTATATTCTGAATACAGATCATGCGATCGGATCATGATGCGCCCGTCCAGCACTATAACAACGTGTTGATATGGACCCGGATTGCGTGCGGAATGCGCGTCCAGACGGCGAGGATGCTGTTGGCAGTGTAGGTTGACCTGACGATACGAAAGGGCGATCAAGCGCCGGCGTTGTCCCCCTTTGTGAATTTAGAGGTTGGGTGCTGCCGCGCATCACACCCGCTTGAACAAAAACAATTGCAATCCACTTCACACGAGCGTCAGCATAGGCTAGACGTTGAGGTTGTACGGGACTGCTGAAGAGAACATTGGTGGTTGACCTGGTGACGGGATAGGGAGATCAGGCGCCCGTGAAGATAAATTCGAGTTAGGCGCTGGCCCGGGCGCCCATCACAGTCACACCCACTGGAACAATGAGAATCCCATCCCTTTCCAGTCACGCAAGCACGCACTATCGTACATACATCCCGTAAGTTCATAAAAAATAAGGTATCCATACTCAACTCAAGCAAACCCGACAATCCTCCTCGCCATCTGTGCCAGCACCGGCAACTTCCACCCAGCCCGATACGCAAGCACAACCCCAAGCGCCAACACGACCGCGCCGATGCTCGCCGCCCACCGCTTGCGGCGGCGCTCTCGCTCGAACTTTTCGGCGCCTATAGCCTCGTAATCCGAGAAGCGAACTTTGTGGGTGATCCACCAGAACAGTGATACCGGTCCTGCGTGGTATTTATTGAGTGAGCGAGGGGTTCAGACAAGATGCATGGGAGGAGAGTCTAACCTGGGAAGATAGCATAGTTCCGTCCATCCTCAGTCCTCCCCCGGTAATAGCTCCTACAATGCGCCCAAACGCTCTTCCTGAGCCTTCCTTGCAACCACTCATTATACCTCCCAAACACGCCCTCCTTCACCTCGAACGCCGCCGCCTTCCCCTGCACAACCGGCCGTATAAGCTGCAGCGCATGGTCGATCTGCACCTCCTCATTGAACACCACCGACGCGTGCCCGCCGGCCGTATTCGGTCCTAACAACATGTAAAAGTTCGGGAAGTGCGGGACGGAGAGGCCGAGGTATGCGGAGGGGCCGCCGACGGAGTCGAAGAAGGAATGTAGGGTGAGGGCGGAGCGGCCGGTTATTTGGAGGCGCGGGGGGAGGAGGGAGAAGCCTGTTGCGAATATGATCACGTCGAGGGGGACGACTTCGCCTGTGGAAAGGCGGATGCCTTCTTCGCAGACGCTGGCGATTGGTGTCCAGTTCAGGTCGACGTTTGGGCGGTGCAGGGATTCGAGGTAGTCCGGGTCGACGATGATGCGTTTACAGCCTGGCGCTGTTGCGAAGTCAGTTACCTGACGCATCTTTAGCACGCGAGATGAACGTACGGAATGCAGGAATGAGCTTGTCAAGGTACTCCTTCGGTGCGGTCTTCTTGATGTACTGAGTCAAGAGCTAAATCGCATGAGCCCCTGAACGATTGAACGCTAGAGGTGAATCGACACCTTTTGAACAGCCCTATGCATGAAGTTATCGGTATCGTTGAACGCCAGGAAGCCCAACTCAGACTGGAAATGTGATACATGAGCCTGTGAAACATGATGGACAGTTGGACAACAGACCTTCCAATAGATCCACGCTCTATACGTCCGCATGATGCCGGGTACGTATCGAAAGACGGCCTTGACGGCGGCCGGATAGTCATACTGGGGCTGAGGGTGTACCGGTGAGAGATGGAGAGTCAAGCAGCATGAAGGAACATACTCGGGGAACAAACCACTGAGGACTGCGAACGAAGTTGATCACTTGCACCGAGGGATCCTTCGAGATCCTCGGGATGAACTGTGCGCTGTACTCAAATTCAGATCTAGTCCACAGTGAAGTCGTTACAGTCACTTACCCGGAACACCCATTCCCAATCACGCCAACGCGTTTCCCTCTCAGATCAACACCATGATTCCACCGCGCCGAGTGCCACACATCGCCCTTAAACTCCCTAACACCCGGCACATCCTCCGGGAAGAACGGCGCATGAAACCCTCCCGCCGCCCACCACAGCACGTTCGCATCAACGCTCCTCTGCTCCTTGCTCCTAGTATCTTCAAGCGTAATATGGTACAGTTGCTGAGACTCGTCCCATTCGGCGCTGACGACTTCGGTGTGAAAGCACGTGTGAGACTCAAGACGGTGTTTCTCGTAAACTGCTTGCCAGTATGCGCGGATATCGGGTTGAGAGACGTAGTAGGATTGCCAGTCGGGGTTGAGCTCGGATGAGAGGGAGTACCAATGCGCGGGGACGTCGGAGCCACAGCCCTGCGAGACAAGTGTGAGAAAGATGTGCAACTTCAAAGCGGGTCCAGGCGTACGGGGTAGGTGTTGTCCTACATGATGACGGTCAGAAATAGCTATGAAGATGATAAAAACAGAAGCGTACCCTCCATACGCCGCCGACGGAGTCCTCCTTCTCGTAGATCTTCGGTCCCACGTCAGTCAACAGAAGCACCTAGGGGATCAATCCACGAACCGTAAAACGCTCGTATCCAAGCTGTTTCCTCAACTCCAAAGCTGCAGCGATACCGGCCAGACTGCACACATGTATGAATATCCAGTACCTCCAAAAGACAAGGTGAACATGTCCATACCCAGCACCTATGATAGCGACATGCCGCTCTCCATTCGTAGGCTCAAAGCTCGACATGGTGTTGCGTAGTGTGCGCAGTGCGGGGTATCTTGTGGGGAAAGAACATATTGACCAGCGACTGATGGTAGTTTATATCCAAGTCCCCTTGTACGTGTCGCGTGAAAGCGGTAAGAACTGCACCCGGTAATCCGATAGATATATTAGCGGCGAACGTCAAGTCCAAGTGACGTCGAGCCCATCACGCGCGTCCCGACTCGGACCTGGGTGCCCGGAAACCCGAGGACGTCGTTTCTTCCTCTGACCATCACCAGCACCTTCGTTGCTCTAGGCGGATACAACTCCGCTTCGGCAATGATGATACTACTCAAAGTCGTGCATCTGAGAGACGACTAGCGGCGCAACTATGTAGGACCCAAATACCGCGCGCCAGTCAGCGCTGATATCTGCGACTCTTATCCTCTTCTCCCTCCACTCTGGCCCCCAAGGCCATGCTTAGCGGATAATCAAGGCCTGTCTAATGGAGACTGATTGCACCGTTCGAACCTACACGAACACTACTCTTGGTACTGATGGATTGATCGTCGTCGATGCCATCTCCTACTCTCGCTCGTGGCCCGATTCAGCCGAGTGCAATTGCGGATGTCTAGGGCTATTACGCGCGTGCGGTACATTCATGTATGAGGGCTGATAGCACAACGACATACGTCAGGCTTACTCAGAGTGTGGCTTTGAGTTTGACAGTATCTGAGCACTATATCGCACTGCTGAGCACATCCTCATGCTACACAAACTATCTAAGTATTGAGATGACCTGATATGTCAATGACCTGATGCTCAGTAGAACTTCAACAGTACACTGGGGCGATTCGGACGACGATGCGCGGCTGCGCCACTCGTTACTTTTCCGCATAGACATCCCAACTTTGTACACAACGACACGCGCTAAAGGAGAGCGTCTGAAGAGAGCTCTCCCATCTGTTCTGGAAACCCCAAGCAAAACGCGATATTCGCGCGTCGCGCGCGCGCCCCCGGCGCGCCCGTATCTGCTCGAGTGAACACGTAGATAGTAGCTTATGCGCGTATTTTTCTTGCGGGAACATGCTCTCACACACAAACGTTGATGAAGCCCGGTCTACGAGGTATGTGGAGCTGCTCGTTGGTGGGTTAAGGTTGGGTTGAGGTCGGTGGGGCCTGAAACGCGGTCATCTGACCTTTCGCCGTCAACGCGCTGCACGAACCCTCACGAACCTCCCCTGCATCTGGGGCGTTGTGCGCGCGGCTTGGGCCCGCCGACTCGGCCTGCCCTACGAGGAGAAGTGGAGCAAACAGTCCCTCAGGATTGGCCTCCCGAACAACCACCCGCGAAGCGTCACTCGTCTTGTCAAAACAGGAAAGGGAGATGGGTGGGGGTCGTCGACGTGCGAGCGCACAATGCGTTCGGCTTTACCCGACACCGCATCGAAACAACCCTAACCTTAAAAAGACAGTTCTTAGGTCTTTCTCACGTCGACTCCCTGCTCTCTCAGACTTTCCCTCGGCCTCCCAAAAGCAGACACTCGTGCCTCGCTTCTGCGTGCATACGAAGATTCCCTCACTTCTTCGATGGCTTGGATTCATGAAACAATCTACGCACGAAGAAGTTAGTCCCTAACATCTGACCATCATTTCGCGTCTGCGGCATACCTCGGATCTTGCACGGTCTTGGCAACACGGTCTTCATAGGATAACATGCAATGCTTCGACGAGCGAAGTTGTCCTCGTGTGTCCTTTGAGATCCCGCGGCGTATATGAGCTATGTGCAGTGTCTGGGTCAA